CCAGGTCAGTTTGGTCATTTGCACATGATCTGGGGTGGGGGTGCTTTTAATTAGAGTGGCTCTTGGGAACTGCTGTAATGAAAACTTTTGCAGTATCTCGTGTATTCAGTGTCCCACGTTTCAAAATGGTGGCAGGGGTGCTTTAATTAAAGGTTGGTTGACAAGCTTTAGTTAAAGCGCTCTGGTCTCTGTTTTGAAATGCGGGGATGCTGAATACATAAGACGCTGCAGTATGCTGGAGTGTTCTTATTAGAGCACTCCAGCAGACCTGATTAATCAAGTCTGCTCCAACATGTTCTAATCAGAACGTGCCAGAGCCCGTGTAAATGTACCCTTTACTTCTAGGATCAGTTTGCCTTTTTACCTAAATCATATTGTCTGTTCCTAGTCTGCCCTAATACTTGTTGTTTGATCGAGATCCAACTTCATGCCTCAGTTCTTTTGAGATCCTGTAAAATATTTTCCAACCAGAGTGCAGTCATGTGGAGGGGGAAAAAAGCTCTGTTTACTTTTTACATGGGGCATATAAACAGTCAAACTCAGCAGTTTTTAAGAGTAAATATTGCCATGAAAGAAGACTGCAGTAATGCAAAAAGACTTCTCTTGTCTTTTCCCTTGGATCTTAAGTTTATCCAACCTGATCTGCAGTTACTTCTTAAGCATAGAACAATTAGATTTCATATAATAACATTTTCCAGATTGTGACATACTGTATGCATTCCTGCTCCTTCACTGAATGTTAAAAAATGGATGCATCTTTTTGTTGATGTGACATTCAACCACTAGGTCCTGCAGATCATTCATTTTCTGCAGAATATACATTTTTTGTAATGATGATACTGTCTTGCACAGATTATGATGAGGGGGATAGTTCTTGTTGTCTTCACACTTGTGTAACTTCAACCTTTTTATACGCTTTTTCTGTGTTGCTGTGTTTCTACTGTATAAAAAACTATTACTGTTTTGTTTTCTATATCTCACAGCGATATACTAATTGCTAAATGGCTATGATCCTCATTCATATGGCCATGATGAGATTACGAACATTATAGACCATTATTTACTCTAAAAGGATAGTTCCTTTCAGCCAGTGAAGAGAATGATAAATAATACTAGCAAATTGCCCGTTTTGAATGATGGGGTGGGGGGGACAGGCAAGGACAGAGTGCTGCCGCCAGGTGGTGCTGTCACTCCACCTCGGGCCCTGTGTGCCCCCTACCGCCCCCCCTGGGTCTGGCCCTGTGCTCCCCCCACCCTCTGCATCTGGCCCCATGGGCCCCCCTGCCATTCCTGGTGCAGCCCTGGGTACCCCCCCACCCCCTGCCACTCTACCCACCCCGTGCTGTTGCACCTCATGCTGCCACCGGATCGCAGGAAGGGTTGGGGGGGAGTTTGCACATGGTGGCAGCTGCTGACACCCAGCAGCATGCAGCCTGCCCTCCCCACCTCCCTTCTCCCCACCTCCCCCTCTCTGTTGGCTGTTGTCGGGGTCAGGTAGCAGCGGCAGCAAGTGGGGGTGGCGGTAGGGTGCTGCCACCAGAAACACCCCTTCCCGCTCCCTGTTGCCTCCCTCTCCCTGTCGGCTGTTGTTGGCTGGGGGGGAGGGTGCGGAGGAGGCAGCACAGCGGTCCCCTCACCTCTGTCTGTAACGCTCCAGGCCCTCGCAGCCAATTGGTGCGTGCCCTTTTGGCAGCGCATATGCAGTTGGCCCAGAGTGTTACAGACAGACAGACTGACTAAGGCTTTTATTGTGTTGGAATTTCCAAGTTCTATAGTTAATTTCTGCTCTATGTGGGTTAAGTAGTTTGGAGCCAAACTATTCCATAGATTGTGTGGCTGGCTGGCTGGCTACCTGCCTACCTATCTACCTATCTTAATGTGTGTGTAATTTTTAGCAAGTATAGTTCCAGTAAGGATACTTCAGAATTTTTGCAAAGAACAGACCAATGATTTACCTCCCCTGCCATATTGACTTTTAATAGAAAATCAGTAACTCAGTAATGTCTATGGTATGTCTTTTGGAGCACAATTTTAAAATTCAGAAAATTAGAAAAAGTTGTATACCATATTTACTTGAATCAGAGATGAGGTTCTCTCCCTTATCAACATGGTGGGAAAAGTCCCTTGTCTTAGATTCATGTACAAAGCAGAAGCAACCATAGCAGCCTCCTGCCCACCTCTTTGCTTGCCCTTTGCAGCTTCCACCTCCTCCCCCCCCGCCCCCCAAAATCATCTTAGTGATTTTGTCACTAAGATGCAGTTAAGCTCCAGCTTGGGCCGGATTTCCTCCTAGGTGCAGAACATGGGGAAACTCCATCCCCTACCCGGCCAGTCAACAGTGCTGCTGCTGCATGGCTCGCCAGGGGCTGTTCTTCCAGGTGCTGTGCTCCGGGAGACAACACAGCCTGAGCAGGTTCTGACAGTGAGGGATAGGGAGGAAGGGAAACAGAAACTGTGGGACTGTTGAGGGGGAGGCAGAGATCATGTGCAGTAGGGGGGGTGCAGAAGTGTGGGGAGCCAGGGCTGGGGGAGAGGCAGAGATTGGGGGGAGCAAGGGGAAGGGTAGAGATTTTGGGGAGTGTGAAAGGAGGGGCAGGGGCTGTAGGGAGCTGGGGATGGAGGGGTACAGGTGGCGGGGGGCAGGAAGGCTCCAGGGGGACAAGTGGGGGAAGGCTGAGGTCAAGGGAGCCACCTGACCACCACCTCCACGCCCAGCCACTATTTTCTGTTCTGTAGCCGTGGGAGGTGTACACATTGAAGACAGCCCTTCAATAATTAGATTATATACCTGGAAAATTATAATGAATTTATACATTTTCCCTATATAGAATCTAATTATTGGGAGGCTGTCTTAAATAAGGGGTTGATTTTAGGTTTGAATAAAATGGCAAGGTGCAGAAATTAAGATTATAACCAAGTACTGCTTAGTATACTGTTGAAGATGATAGTGATAGGTCAAGAATCAGTATTGCTGTAACATCTTTGCTAGAAATTTGCCCTCTGCCAATTTTCCAGGCCTCAAAGAAACCCATTTGTATAGTAAAAGACCTGATTCCTTCATACAGAAGTCGCCAAGTACGTGTTTATTCATTCCTTATTCTTGGATAAGTCTTGTCTTCAAGCAAATGGTACAAGGAAATGATGTAGCATTCTTTGGTCCCCATTCACTTCAGAAAACCTCACTTGGTAGTGTGTTGAGCTGAGTTCAGTGCTTTTCTGTTAAAATATATATTCTCCTCTGTGGAAGGGAGTCTTCTTGGGAACCTTTGCACCTCCAGTGATCACTTCAGTTCTTTCTCTCTTCCAGTAGAGTTGTTGCTGCAACTTCATTTCCTAAGGCAAATTAATTTGGCAGTTTGGTTTAAAACAAGAAGCTTCTATTCTGAAAAGAGTTTCCTGTGTTTAACATGGTGTGCTTCTTCTACAGCAGTGGTCTCCAAAATGGGGTGCACACACCCCAGGGGGTGCAGGACGAAAATATTAGAACTTCTATTTCTATCTATTTACATAAATATACATATGTTGGGGGTGCGTGCTCAAAATTTCTTTACTGATGGGGTGCGCAATCAAAAAAGTTTGGAGACCACTGTCCTACAGTGATGTTTAACTGTGGCTTCTTTTGCTATACAGATTAATACACATATTCACTAAGTTTGTGTTCAGTAAGGTTAGGCCTGTCTTAAAATTGGAATTGCTGAGGCATTTTCCCTTTGTTATTTCAACATTTGTGTTAATGGCTCCTCTTGAGCCTGTGCTGTAGGAACTGCTAGGGACAATCACAAGACCTCCAAGTGAATTTTGATTGAGTTTAGTACATTAAAAAGACTTTGTTCATTTTTTCACAACTGATAATTCTGCAGTCACCCTGGGAGCCCTCTCTTAAGTGAAGCTGTGTCCTTATGTTTTGTGTATTGCCATGTGCAAGAGAAGCAGTTGAGGTGTGCAGTTATATTCTAGCAAATTTTCCTTGATCCCAGGATATGTTACTGGATTTTAGCATCGACTAAAAAGCATTTTTAAATTGCTTTTATTTGGTAAACCGCTATCTTTTTTACAGGCATAAGCAATGTTGATATGGCTTTGTTTCTAAAATAACTTTTAGACTTCTGAAGTGTATTTGTTTACTTGAGCTAGAGTAAAGTACAAAAATATGTAACTCTTAATAGCTTTCAAGAAAGGCATGTCAAAGGATATTTTTATTGGCTGTTATCTAGTGAGCATAGTTTCATGTGGGGTATTCATTTTGCTATGGCAACCAGAATGATTTTTCCAGGATTTGGCTCCTGTTTGGATTAGTGGATCTCATGTCATCACATACTCCTAATGATGTTTTCACTTGTTCTGGATGCTACTTTTATGTCATTAATTTAACTTTTATCAGTATCATTTTTGTTTTATTCTGAAGTTCTGTTTGGCCATTTCTGTGGGGAGAGTTGTTTAGGGGAGACTCTTTAAAAGAAAATTGTGCAGGATGCTGCGTGTGAAAGAAAAATCTTGAAATTCCTGACAGTTGTATTCCCCAAGTTGATACAGTATGCTATATCAAGACCTTGATCCTTTCTGCAAAATCTTATCTTCAGCTAATGTTGACCATCTCTTTTCAAGTGTTACATACAAGCACTAGAAATATAAAGTGAAGATGTGTGGCTTAAGTTGTGTAAATAATGCAGACTTGCCTTGATGTAAAGGGAGCTCATGAACTTTTTTTTTTTTTATTTCCTTGATATGCTTGTATTGGAAAGCAGACTTTTCTAATTGATTAAATGGGGGAAAAACATCACCCTAAAGCACTGTACGTGGCATAATTTGCTTTTTAAAGAGAATAACGTCTCAGTAGATGAACAAATAGGTTGCATCCTTAACAACATGAGATATAACAGATGGAAGTCCTCATTCAAATGCAGTGGTTCCTAACAAACTTAATCTACAGCATCCTGGTGGTTGAAATCCCAGTTGAATTCCAAGTAGGCTGATCACTGTTGTGTTTTTGAATTTTGCAGTTGATGTGACTGCAACACTGCCCTTGCAAGTTGCACCAACTTCAGTTCCTATGGACCTCCGTTTGGACCATCAGTTTTCCATGCCAGTGACAGAGCCTACACTCCGTGAACAGCAGCTTCAGCAAGAGCTCCTGGCTCTCAAACAAAAACAACAAATCCAGAGACAAATCCTCATTGCTGAGTTCCAGAGGCAGCATGAACAGCTCTCTCGGCAGCATGAGGCCCAGCTACACGAGCACATAAAAGTAAGTGATTGAAATACTGCTGTGAATGGTGTGTAAAAATACTGCCTAATTAGGAAAGGATGTTCTGAAAGTAGACAGATTGGTTTTAAAGGGACAATAGAAATTGCTGTGTAGAAAACTGTATCCTTCCAGAGACCTTAGCACTAAGATTTTTTTTTTTTTTTAAATGGGTAACCGTATTTTCTTGCATGCGACATGCACTTTCTCCAAAAAAAATCCACCTCCTAAAACTGTGGAGTGTGTATTAAGCAAGGAAGCTGATTTTCTGCTTCAGATAGAGGTTGTCTGCTTTACTCTTGCTCCATATTGCAGCAGCATACAGGTTTCCCTTGCCGACCGCTGGGGTTAGAGTTCCCGTGGTTGGCAAAACCGTGGCTGACAAGACAAAAGGCTTATGGGGAAAATGGTAGGTGGAGGGCTGATGCATGGCCATGGAAAATTGTGGTTACTCAAAACTGTATACTGTGGTAGCCAAAATGGTATATAGAATATTAAGCATGGATACTCAAACCCATGGTTGGCAAAACTGTGGTTGTTGGCGAGGGGAACCTGTACTATTGAGTCAGCTGAAGAAACCAGTCAACTTAATGACCCATTGAATTTTCCCTCTACATATGTTAATGATAGCTTGTGTTTTGTAATGGTCTTGATGTTCTACCAGTCAAGCTAACCTTTCTTGGTGCAATTTTTCTATCCGCTGGTTGCTTCTGTTGGCCTTTGCAGGAAAAGGAAGGTGAATCAGCTGAAGATTCTAAAGGCTCGGTCCCTGCACTGTGTAGCCATAACTCTGGAAAAATCCTTGCTGCTTCATTCTGCCTTTCACAAACAAGATGTGTATTATATTTCAGAGTGTGTTGTACGTGAGAAAATACAGCATTTAATTTAGGCTTATACTTCTTAAGGCCTTAGCTAGTTAAATAAATGGACTGATCTCCAAGAAGGCTGGTTACTCTAATTAGCCCACTTATTTAGAGGCCTGAATATAGATTTACTAGCCTGTATTTAATATTTCATTTTTTGAAAGATCTTTTGCTTCTTACTGATGACCTTGCCATTGAGAAGAGAGCTTTCAGGATGCCTGGGTTCCCATTCTATCAAATACTGGTGCACACTCATGTTCAAGGAGCAGGTGATCTTTAGCTTATTCTTAGGTAGGAGAAAATACTCTGAATTTTGTTAATCTAACCTGTGCTATTAATCTCTCATAGCGCTATATGTTGCCAATGTATTTGGCTCTATTAATTAAATTATTAAACCAATAATTGGCTGGGATTGTAAACACTAGAAACATTTGAAGTTATTTGAGTTTGTTCCCTAATAAATTTGTTGTGGCAGGGATTGTTTGTATTTTTATATTTGAACAGAGCCTAGCGTAGAAGGACCCAGGCCTTAAAACAGTTTCTGGGTACAACTGTAATATAAACATAAAGAATGACTTATTTTTAGGAATGGTTACTTACAAGCTTCAGGTTAGGTTATTTAAATCTTAATGACATTACAAATATACTGTACGTGAGAGTAAAGGGTAAACCACTTGTGAATGTGCCAATTTGTCTATAACTAGAGGCCTGGGGATGGAATATCACAGTTAGAATTTCTGGGGTGCTTGCTGCAGCTTAAGTAGAAATTCTGACTTCTTAACATTATCGTGCAGTTTAAATGTTTTTAAAATATTAACTCTAGTTATGCCTTGTCTCAGACATGCCTATGTGCGAGCTTTAAGAGTGACTACAGGATGGTTCTACCTATATACTAATATAAATCTGTAGTACAGTTCTGAGATTCCTTGGATCAGATTTCTCATGTTTCTTTAAAACGCCACAAAAGAGGAGGAAAAAAATGGTGCCAAAACACATGACCAGAAATTATAGCGGCTTAAGTCTTGTATTCTGTGTCGATTGTAGTGAGAATTTAACCTGAGTTAGTAGTGTTGAATAGGTGGCTGTTATACTCCATTCTAGAACAGAAATATGTACAAGTTACTTCATACACACACAAATGTTACACAAGCTGTTAGCCAGACCTCTGATGTTTTGTGTTCTTGTGGAGGGAATTACAAGAGCACATGTAGCATTTGGGGAACAGGGACTATACACATTACGTGACTTCCCAAATTATTAGGTACGAGCTAACCCAGCCCAGTTGTTTAAATCTGCTCTTTGAAACAAAATGAAAGGTAATGTAATGAATGGAATAAGTAGGAGGTACAGTTTGGAAGACGGCTGTTACACAGTGAAAATGTTAGCCACCATATAAATATTCCAGCGTGACAGACTATTGCAATGGTAACATCAGTTTTTTCAAAATTGCTAATATGCCCTCTCAAAGGGGGATTAGTATTGACATGGTACATAGTCTTGATGTAATACTAAAAGTGATTGCACACTTGCTCTTACATAACTTTTGTTTTAATATAAAATATAACCCAATATTTTGAAACAGCATGAAATATGCTGTGTTATATTTACACATTCTTAAGTAGTAGAAAAGATCCATTTTAATTACGTGTATTGTGGAGGGTCCTTTCCTTTTTCATGTCCATATGACAAAGTATTTAACAGATTTTGTAGATTCATTGGAATCTGACAGGCCGTGTCATAAGCACTTCTGCTCTGGCCTTGAACTTCTGACCTCTGGGCTGTTAAGCATGCACCTTAATGTCCGCACCACCCCAGCCTTATTATGGAGAGCAATTGACTGAAGTCGTCAGCATGAATAATAAAGATTTACTGGCAGCCATTATGCACAGCGGCATTGTGCATGTGTTCCTGTGTGTTTTTGTAAGTTTGTTGGGACAAGGACTCTAATTTTTCCTCTTCATTCAGTGTCTAGCTCGGTGGGACCTAACTGGAGCATGGTCTGCATGTGTTATTTTAATACAGCTGTTTAATAATAATTTTGCTTGGACAACTAGACTGAACTTGATTCTAGGTGTCTCTAAGTGTGATTACTTGTTTATGCAGACCAGTTTCATAAGATATCATGGTTTTGTGATGAAGACATTCCCCCTGGATCAATGTCAAACACATTTGTAATCTTTAAAAAGGAAAAATAATCCTCCAAAATTAATGCACAAGCTGAAAGTATCTAGGATAGGAACATAATTACACTGATTTGTTTAAAATGTATGACTGACTTCAATAACAATCTACATTATAAAGGAAAAATTTGAGCCCAATTTGGAAAGCTTGTTCATTTAAATTGTATGTATCTAGACATCCTGCCTGGAAGTTTTGCTGCCAGAATTTTGTTGCTAGAATTTCTGAAGATGAAGTATTTTAAAATGTGACAGTGAACAGTCCTATGTAAGACTGATTAGCCACATGATCAAGTAATCAACCTTTGGTAATCTGACTATTCCTTAAAAACAAAATTTTATCCTGTTTGTAATATGACTATGTAGTTTGGTACTTTGCAAACAAAGGTTCAGTCTAAAACATTTTATAAAAACTAAACTATGTTAATGCATATAATCATTAGTTTGACACATTATTATTGTAATGTTCATAATTCAACCTATACCTTAAATACTTGTAGCTCAGAAAATGACTGGATAAATTAACCCAAGAAAACTGGCAACTCTGTTAATTGCAGCTTATTATAGTTACATGACAGTTTTCATTTAAACCAGGAGTGTCCAACCTTTTTGAATGTGGGGCCGGATCATGAACTTTTTATCACCCAGTGGGCCAGCAAGCCATATTCAAAGACCTCACAGGAAGTGGTATCACATCAGGATGTGATGTCACATGACCTTTGACACCAGTGAAAATGCAGGAAGTGACAATGAAATGGGTCTGGAAATGTGGTTTAAAATCAAAAATAAAAACAGTATAAAAGCAAGAATGAAATAATACCAAACACTTGACTAAAATAAACACTTTTGCTTCCACTCGCTTCTCAATGAACGAAAGCAGCATAATGCAAGTCGACAGATCAAATGTGGAAAAGATATCAGCCAGAGTGGAAACTAATCAAAGCAACAAAATATGGGCATTTTTGAGAATAATCTTCAAGAAGTTTTACTTTTATTGAATTAATAACTTGTTAGTAACACATCTTTAACAAGTAGTAACAAGTTGAACCCCCAATCCCGCACAAAGAGAAACCGAAGCAAACACAGTCCAAACAATGGACAGTATTTTTACAAAAATTTTTACTTGCTCCAAATTTACGTTGGAGCCCAGATCATTCATGCTCTATTCTTGAGCATATTGTTCAGTCTTAAACAAGCATACAGCACAGCTGCAGGGGGCTCAGCCACAGCTTTCCCTCCCTGGTGCAGCCCTGCCAACCCATCCCATGCCCTATCAAGTGGTGGCTTCCCTACTTGCTGCTGCACTTTCCCCCTACCTGCGCCAGCTGGTCCCAAAAGGCAGGAGGCTCCACCACCGCTTCTGCTGGCCAGTGCCGACCCAGCCGAGTGTCCACAGCAGCACGTGGGAAGCCAGCTTCAGCCACGTGCTGCCCCAGATGGGGTGGGCCCAGCTGTGTCGGCACTGGCCAGGAAAAGCAGCATGCAGCTGAAGCTGGCTTCCCACATGCTGCTGGGGATGGGAGGTGGCCGGCCAGGTCAGCACCGACTAGCAGAAGCAGTGGTGGAGCCGTGTGCCGCTCAGGACCGACTGGAGCAGGCAGAGGGAAAATACAGCTGAGCCCCTGCTGCTCTGGCCGGGCTCATCCCGACCCGAGTGGCACACGGCTCCACCGCTGCTTCTGCTGGCTGGTGCAGGCCCGGCCAGGCTCCTCCCATCCCCAGCAGCTTGTGGGAAGCTGGCTTCAGCCGCATCGTGCTCTGGATGGGACGGACCCACCTGGGTCAACACTGGCCAGGAAACGTGGCTTGCAGCTGAAGCAGGCTTCCCACAAGCTGCTGGAGACAGGAGGAGCCCGGCCAAGTCTGCACCAGCCAGCAGAAGCAGCGGCAGGGCCATGCGCCACTTGGGACAGGAAGAGCCCAGGCGGAGCGCCAAGGGCTCAGCTGCATTTTCCCCTTGCCT